GATAATTGGCGTCTGTCTTGTGTCGGTGACGTAAAAGACGGATTTAATGCAACATGACCATCAAACAGCAGTCGCTTTCTAAAACATCGGATATGTATCGGATTCAGTACCACATACGAAAGTGACCTAGATCAGATTTGAAAATATCGGATTTGTGCCGTTCACACTGTCACACCATGAACGGATATGGGTCGCATAGGGTCAAAAAAGTCGGATTTGATGCGCTTTCGCCTGCAGTGTGAACGTAGCCTAAGTTGTAATTTGGGATAATGTTGATGCAGCACACTAATCTCTGTTAAACAACAACAGGTTGCAAAGAGGAGCTAACATACTGTATTTTGCACCCCTGTTCACAACTTTATATTTTAATTCCAAGGAGCCAGACTTTCTTTATTTCTTAAACTGGTCTTGAACAATAGTTTTTCAGCTTTCTGAAGATCTTTTCTTTAGACATTGTCTACTTTTTCACTCATTTCCCCTCAACTCTTTGTACCTGACCATTTTCAGAGGATTTTTTCACTTAACACTGACCTAGGAATGATTCAAGCATAACAGGCTCACAACTCAGGGGATGAATCAGTTTTGTGTCCACACATAAACATCACAAAAAATGTCTAATTGGACAAGTGGCCTACAAAAGAAGACGCATCAAGCCTAAAAACTACCTACTACAGATCAACAATATCTGAAAGCCATCTTCTGGAGATATAGCAGCAAATTGGGCTACTGATCCATCTACTGTTCAATAGAGACTCATCAGAAATCAATTATCAATGACAGGGTGGCTTTCAAGAAGCTATTTTTCAGGAAAGGAAACGGAGAAAAGCTGGAGGTATCCCAAACGACATAAGAACTAGACTTAAAATCAAAGCTGGCTGATTGATCCCAAACGCACTGACAGAAAAAAACTTCCCTGGAGCCTGGACATTAACATTATTGAAGCAGTGTTGAATCATCCTGACAGAAGATAAAGAATTCAAAGAAGAGATTTCAAGAAACCCGGAGAACTATTCCTGAAGACTACTAACAGAAATGACAAGAGCTGCCCAAGAGAGTTCACACCGTGTTGAAGAAACTGCAGCACTCATTTAATATTTTCCAAGGAAATGTGAAGAAAAAGAGGTGTGTGCAGCACTGCACAAATCAAAATGCTGCACAGTGCAATGCTAGGGTCTCTTCGTTAATGGTGCTATATTTGTTCTGAAGGAAAAGCAGAAAGGTAAATGGTCTTCCTGGATCAGAAGACAAACAGCAGAAAGAATGGGTGAGCAACATGAGACAGATTTCCCAGTTTGGAAGGCCTGCTAGCATCTGGAGTGCTGCTTCAACTCCTTGGTAGGGTTGTCGAGATCAGTCAAGGGAGACGTAATGGTGGTGGAGTTATGGCAACATGTTCAAGCTAACTAACTAGCTGTGTTCAGATCCTGGACCGGGCTCTGTCACTATTACGACTGGCTCAGGTGTGGAGTATAACAACGGAATGAGAAGGATGTACCAAGCATTTTAAGAAAGTGCTTGGTATAAGAACTGATTAGAGACCTCACATCTGCACTGAAATCCTGTTTCCTGGGACTATTTACCCCCCACCACCAGAATGTCCATGCTAGGTGAGCAGTAATGTATATGTACTGTATATGAGCTGCTTCTGATAGGCACTTGGAATCACAAACATTATCTTGAGTGGTTGTGATCACCCCCTCCTTAGTACTTGGGGCGATTGTGGCTCAGGGGGTTGGGAAGCGTATCTGTAACCGGAAGGTTGCCGGTTCGATTCCCGGACTCTCTGTCCTGGTCGTTGTGTCCTGGGCAAGACACTTTACCCCCCACTTTACTGGTGTTCGCTTCTGTCAGTCTGCCCCAGGGCAGCTGTGGCTACAACTGTAGCTGCCTCCACCAGTGTGTGAATGAATAGTGGCATTGTAAAGCGCTATATAAATCCAATCCATTAAGATAGCTATGGGCTTTTTGGCCCAAGCACTGCCTGCAGATATAGTTAGTTATACTTATCTATGGGCCTTTACAGACTACTTTGAGTCATGTGTCTGGCTGGCTTACCTCATCCACAGGTCCACCCAACATGGGCCAGATGTCAGGTGTGTTGTAGCAGCCACATCTGGGCTGCAGAACAATTTTCTAATGTAACAGATTTATAAGTGCCAGAAGTGGCTAACATCAGACTGCATTCTTCTATTCATCAAAACGTGCTGTTTTCATTTCCTAGAGTGTGAATTAACACCAATAGTTGGCGAAGATTCTGGTTTTTATGCTAATGCAACCATGAACTGGTAGCCTCGTGAACTCTTGAGGCCATTCGCCAGACGTCTTATCCTTCAGCGGACTATTTTCACATACATTACAGGTACAGCACGACGCCCCACCGCTAATAAAATGGTGTGTCCTCTTTGGAGATGCCTTATGATTGGAAAAAAACTACAGTGAACAATAATAGCAGGTCTGCGATTGGACACAAACTACAGCTTCATCCATGACAGCGTACTAAATAAGTCTCCTTCATATCCCTACTTACTATGTCACTGATCTACATAAAATACATCATAAAATCCACTTCTTCTACACATCCTGCACTTTTCAAAAACACGCCAACAATTTCCACTCAGAGGTCAGATGTAGGATGACTCAACAAGTTGTCATACGAGTACGGCAAATGTGTCTTAATCCAGATTCAAGCAGAAATGACTAGAATGGCGCGAGACTTTCATAAAATAGAGGTTATTTAGCAAAAACCTTGCTGTCCTCAGGAGGAATCTGGGGGCTGAAGCCACCGGAGCGTGAGCTTTAAATTTAGCAGAGAGAGGAGAACAGCTACAGTATAATCAGCAAGAGAAGGGAATAAGTTGAACCTTGACCTCGGCTCTCTTTATAGATGACAACGACGACCTTGAGAGGGTGAGAAAGGAGATTGATGATGGCCATTTTGCTTAACGAGCTCACCAAGGACCGCCTCACCCTCTGAAGGGAGGACAATCGTCTCTGCTCAAGGTAAGAGACAAATGTCACCTTTCTCCACATCACTTATAGCAGCACCGAACGTCTCATTTCAGTCCATTTACTTTTAAAAATAGCAACAGAGAAGCTGATGGTGAGACTACAAGGTTGTCTAAGGATGCATTACACCCACAGACTGTATATGAAAGATGGCTGTAGTCAAATTCCCATTTTTAGCATGCTGGATGCTGCAGTGTTGCACGCTTCATTAGACAGTTTGTTGGATAAATACAGTCTAATTGCTAGCATCGTTGGAGAACATATTTCTGATATAACTAACCTGACAGGAAGCCACATGCCTGCAAAATGATTCAAAAGGCACCAACAGCACAAACACAGTCCACAGATCTGGTTCGGTGACTCCAAGTAGCTGAGGTAAAACCTAGCAGACAGCTAGCAGCTACTGCCATCTGTGCCACCATCCACCTTTCGTCAATGTTTCCATGCCTCAGACTTTTAGCTTTAATAATGGATTGGATTTATGTAGCGCTTTTCAAGGCACCCAAAGCGCTTTACAATGCCATTATTCATTCACTCTCACATTCACACACTGGTGATGGCAAGCTACAGTGTAGCTATCACCAAGCTACGGTTGTCTGACAGAAGCGAGGCTGCCATATTGCGCCATCGGCCCCTCTGGCCATCACCAGTAGGTGAAGTGTCTTGCCCAAGGACACAACGACCAGGACAGAGAGCCCGGGGATCGAACCGGCGACCTTCCGGTTACAGATACGCTTCCCAACCCCCTGAGCCACGGTTGCCCCAAAGCTTTAATTCTTTAGCTTAGATATAGAAATATTTATCCCCTGTATGGTAAAAAAGGGTGTTAAGGTCCCGTTACACAGTCCTAGAGACGGTCAGGGACCCCCTGGAAACCAACGGCCACTAGAGAAACATGTGTATCACCTGACCAGCTGCTGGAGGTTGCTGCCAGTCTCTAACATGAAATTGGTTGCAAGGAGGTATACAGTGTCATACCAACACCCTCCTTGTGATTAGTCCTTAGTCACTAGCATAGTTTGCATGAAAGCTGTCGACTTGTCCATAGACCGTACATGTGAATCACACAGATACCTGCTAACGGTCAATTAAAATAGTAGAATTTCACTCACCAAAACAGGATCACAGACGTCTTGGACAGTCTGCACTGCACAAAAAGCCATTTCACTTGTCATGTTAATAAATATCTAAAAGGCACCAACATCACAAACCGTCTTCAGTGACTCCAAAAAGCAGAGTTGAAGTGTGGAAGATGGCCCCCAGCTGTCTGTGTCAACAACATCTACGTACGGGTTCATTGTGGTCTTAAATAGGTGAGATACAGCTGTCACAAAGTGGGAACTCAAAGCTGCTGTAAAGTTGAGGGGTCTATGGGGACTGACCCACTGTTAGAGTCGGCCTCAAGTGGCCATTAAAGGAACTGCAGTTTTTCAGCTACTTTAGTTTCTCCAATCAGTTTAATGTGATGCCGAAAAACTAATTACAAGTGGCTGATTTCTAGCCTTGTAAAAGTGACATCCTCACATGTTCGACGATGACGGGACAAAAAGGTTGCCGTGGAAACAGGGTTTTTTTTCTGCCTTTTAAAATCTGCCAGGAAAAAAAATGTGAGGGGGAAAAAGAAGGGAAAGAACGACAGAGAGTCGGTGTGAGACAGAGAGGGGAAGCTAGGTGCAGGGAGTGAGAATGAAATCTGCAGGATCCTAAAAAAATGTGACGAAGGCTGAGTGTGAAAACCGCTGATTCAGCCAGAATGTCACCGCCTGCTGCTGCGTGCGCTCGTGGGAAATCATCTGACCTCACAATTTGGGTTACCCCGCATTAGGAAGTCAAAATGTGGGGGTGGGCAGAAGGGACAGGGAGTGGTGAGGATGGTTTGGTCTCCCTCTCTTTGTTCTGGGGAAGAAGAAAGCGGGGAGAGAGGGAGGGGGGAGCGCACTTGGGTGTCCTCTTTCTTTCATCTTGTCTTACCTGGAGGAGTGCAGTTCCTTGTTCCTTTTTGTAAATCTGTCTCCTCGCTGCTGTTGTTGTCCGTGTCCTGCAGCAGCCTCCTTCCGATCCACCTCTCCTGGTCCTCGCCGCTGTGGCTGGAGACATCAAAACCTGAATGGAGACAAAAGAGAGTGATGGGAGGGTTGAGTGCAACATCCAGATACAAATTACTGAACTTTTGTCGCTAAAGAAATGTAGCTGCTTCTAGAAAACCTTGAAGTTCATTGTATAATATACTGTGTAAGGTGCTAGTCAGACTCCAAGATGTCCATTTGACACATATTAGAAGGTGCTACAATGTAAAAATGGGGGATATAGATGCAGGCAGCTGCATGCAAAAACATAAGACAGCTTGAACATATACTGGACATGGCTGGAGGAAAAAAACTGCATAAAATGTTGATTTTGCAAAGTGAGCTCTTATAGTTTTGAAACAAGTGCACCAAAGCATCTTCATGCAGGCTATGTTGACAAATTTTAGCTTAGTGTAAAATATTTTTTTGTTACTTTTACTGTTTTCTTACATTTCATTTCACTTTTATTTCAGGTAATTAAAACGATTCTCTCACGTTTAGCTTTAGTTTTCTAGTTTCATGTTATTTAACTATTATAACCTTGGTGTGGAGTCTGCATGGTCTCCACAGTCCACAGACACGCTTCCTGGTTAACTGATAATGCAAATTTGGGTATGGGAGTCAGTGGGAGATCGTGTTGTTGTCGTGTCTGTCTCCAGTCTGTATCCTCTCTGTACCCACTTTCACTCCATTTCTGCATCTGTGCAGCGTCTCCGCCACATAAAGTGCTGTTTAACCCATTAGCCTGGTGTTGGGAGTGAAAGTGGGGTATAAGCAGTCTTTGGTGTAACATTTCCCAAACTGTAATCACATTAAGTCTAACACATCTAGGTTCTAAATTCAAGAACCACACTAAAGTTCCACGTCCAACACTTACATGCATTCTTTAATTATTTGCACAATAGGTGGATGGAACAAAACAATAAAATAAAAGCTCAGTGTGGAAGAAACAAACATACAAAACTAGATTTTCACCATCACTCTGAGACAGGATGTTTCTAATTTTAGCAACGTTGAGCAGATGGAAGAAAGCGGTCCTACATATTTGTTTAATGCGTGTGTTGATGGACGTATCCTGGACTCCAAGATTCCTCACAGTGTTACTGGAGGCCAAGGTAATGCCATCCAGACACCATGTTTGTAGGATTTTAAAAGCCACATACAAAAACCTCAGTTTGTCTGAATTTAGAAATAGAAAAGTAGAGGAAAATTGGAAAAATAGGAATTAGAGGCCTCTGTGACTGGTAAGACGTGCAGCTTTTTCCCCCAAATAACATTACCCAAGGGAAGCATGTTTACTGTAAACAGCAGTGGTCCCAGCACTGAACCCTGTGGAACTCCAAGGCTAACCTTTGTGTGAAGAAGACTCCCTCTATCCCTGTATCCAGTTGAATCTATCAGGACACAATTCATTATTATACCAATAAATGTACATTAAGGTTTCTTATTTTATGAGTATTTCTTTCATTACAACTGATAACTGGCTTTAGAATTTGATTGGCATGTTAAATCACTGGAAAATATACAAAACTTTTATTTTTTTTTCCCATTTTTCCTTTAAAAGCGTCATCACTTGAGCTGAATGGATTCCATTTTATGAACTGATAACTGTTATCCCATCATCGGACATTGCTCTGGGAGGCTTCTCTCCTGTCAGGAATCTTTTACTTGTCCATGAAGATGCAGATCTCAGGATTGAGCATGTCTCTGAAGTGCAGCTTCTCCTTGGTCGGGCACATGTGTTACTGGCAGTGATGGGAATAACAGCGTTACAAGTAACGGCGTTACTTTTTTCAGTAACGAGTAATCTAACTAATTACTGTTTCTATCGTTACAACGCCCTTTCCGTTACTAACAAGAAAATGCGGTGCGGTCGCGTTACTATTTTTCAGCAAACAGACGGTTGAAGCTGTCTTCAGTTTACCGCAATCACTTTCTGTCAATGATCACTTTTTCCCACAACACCAGGAGCAAAGGGGGTAAAACAATCGCATGAGTGCTGCTGTTTGACTGAGGAAGAA